CATTATTATTATATTTTCCGTTACTAATATTTATGTCACAAATACTGCTAGTCCTATGCTTATCAGAGTTGTCATATGCCAATAAAAACATATGCTCTAACCAACAGCAACATAAACAATAGCTATACCCTCTCTTAAAAATGGCAGTCCAGTGAACAAAAGTGACATCAAAAACGTATTTATATTCGAAAAATTGAAATTATGTACAAACAATTGGCTTAATAGTAAATTCGCTGACAATCCTCTTTTACTACAACTTTAGTTGTAACATATAATTATTACTCCTGGTATTTTATTTTTACTTTGGTACTGTTGTTATTACCATTGAGATTAGTAATTATATTATTGTGACTTCTCTTTACATTACTATGGTAAAACTAGAATATTTATATTGTCACAATGTCTTCATTTGTATCGTTATCCCGCCTTATGTTGCTGTCAGTACTAGCAGTATTAATTATACTGTTATAGTACTAATACCATTGTTACTATTATTGGAAAAATATAGTGCTTATATTAGTATTTTCTGACTTTATTTTTACTGGTATGCCTCCTCATGTTGTGATAACTACTACCAATATTAATGATGCATTGTGGCTTCCCTTTATATTGTCATTATTATTGTTACCACGAATTATGCAGCGCTACAGTGTTTAAATTACTATTATCTGTCATTGTTTTTATTGCTAGGACAGACTAGCACTTTAACAACTTTTCACTCCAACTAGTGGAATGCATTATATTGTTGAGACTTCTCTTTATATTTATATTACCATTACAACTTTTATTGTAAAACTATAATAATTATATTATTCTTATTTATTATTTTTTAACGCTATGCCTCCTCCATACTACTACTAGTACCACCACCACTACTACTCCATTGCTATATTTATACTTCCATTATTATCAGTGCTACCAAAACCTCTCTAATAGTCTGTGTTGAAGTGTTTTTACTAATTCTTATTCGCTACTACCGGTAGTAATATGCCGGACTGAGTGCTGCTTAAACTGGCTACTTTCTGGTCTGAAATGATTTTGTTTCACTTTCTAAATAATAATAAATATACTTGTTACATTGAACATTATCAGGAAGAAAAGATAAAAGCTCAGATTACCGCCTGTAAACCTTGCAATGTATTTATGACCTCATGATACCATTCCTCCACATGGAGAGACAATACGGCCTCAGTGCTGTCTGGCAGGGTACAGACAGGCTGGTATATTTAGAAATAGGAACAAGTGGGTCTAATTTCTTGGATCTGCAGCAATTAATCTAATCCAAAAAAAGGAAATATTTCCTATAGCAGCCAGTGATTTTTTTTTTTACTTTCCTTCTTTGAGAACGTAAGGAACCCGAATTGCTGTGGGTACTGGACCCACTTTTGCTGCGTTTTGCACACATCATCCGCATTGTAGTAGATGGACAGTGAACACAATTCCACTTCCACGTGCATTATTGCTGTGCTCTATTGTCTTCCTCAACTTGTTTGTTGTTACATCCCTATACAGCCTTAGTAAATGACTGGCTGTGTGAATATTTAACTTACATAAATACAATTGTCACGCAACCATCAAATTGCCCTGGCAATATAGACGAAGGCGGAGAGATTGCAAAAACAAACTGGGGACTGCTATTAATGGCCTTCCGGATTTAAATATAAATAAAATGTTTCTGGTTGTTTGTACAGTAAGCTGGATGCATGTGTCCAGGATGTTAATTGCAGCCAATGTTTCTAATGTTTCCCAGACTCTGGGGGGTCACTTAAAAAAATTAAATCACCAATAACACTACAAGTGTGTGGGTGTGTAGGGGATATCAAAAATCCCCATAGACACCAAAGTTTAGATTCTTTGCTCCACATGGAAAATTACTTATGATTGGTTGCTGACAGCAATATGCTCCAGGTTTACTTGCTTCAAATGTTATAGACCAGATTGTCATCAGGGCACTTTAATAAGTTTTATTGGTCGTCCAGCTCTGTGCCATGGGGTTGATTTACTAAAGGAGTAGAGATGGTCTTTTCACGCTTAAAAGTTAATCAAAGTAAACCTGTGTTCAGTTTTCAAATCTTGTGCAAGAGGAATGAATAACAAACATTGTTTTTACAATATTTCATTGGTTCATAGAAGTGCATACAGTTTTGCTTATTT